GCTGATCTTATCAGAAATGAATGGCAAGCAAAGTGGAAGTTTGTCATCAGCTCGAATGTTGTTGCCATTTCTTCGATGGTGAACGTGCGATGAAGAATGGTAACCGTTACTGCAAGCTATTTGGGTAGCCAGTCTGCGTGATTCGCTTCGCTTCTCTTCTCCGTTGCACATCTGCATCGCGGTTCTAAACATGTTACCAATGACAGCACGCTTCACGGAAGCAGGATGTGCAGATTTTACATTGATGAGGATATTTTTGGAGCTTTCCTTGCGATACCATTTGACTCTTACAATGCCAGCGGTCACCTTTACTTGAGCGTTGAGATAAGGCAGCCATCCATCGCGAGGTATCTCACGTGTGAGCTTGATGTACTGTGATTGCTGGCTAAGAAGTTTGAAACACTCGTCCATCTCGGACTGCGTTGAAGTTGCAACCAGCAATCATCGATGTAGCGACAGTACATCAGTGGCATACGTGCTAGAACTGGCTCTTCAATTCTGCTCATAAAGCATATGGCGAGAACTGGTGCTAGCCTTTGGCCCATAGCTAATCCACGTATCTGGGAGTAATAAGTCCCAGACATCTGAAAATGGTACATTTCAAACATTCTTTCACTAGGGCCATCGTATGCGCTTTGCTAAGTCCAAACATGTTCATTGTATCAGCATACTTATCCAACATTTCCGATAACGCTTGCAAAGCTTGGTCATTCTGCACATTAGTGTAAAGAGACGTTACGTCAAACGACTCAATTACCGTGCTCGAATCAAACTTAGCGTTTCGAAGCTGTTCCACGAACTCGCGTGCATTGGATAAGTGTGCTGGTACTTTCGTTAGTAGCTGGCTCACGATCTTATTTAGGTACCATGAAATCCTATCGGTGGGGCCGCCCACGCAACTAATAATTGGTCTAATTTTGTAAGTTGCCGCTGACATTTTCATTTCGTGCTCGGAAAGCTTGTGGGTCTTCAAAAGGCTGTAAAAAACTGGACAGCACGGATTTGTCACTTTCAATCTGCTCATGAGACTATCAGCAAGTCCGGCAGATTTGGCAATCATAGTCCATGCGTCATTAAGTTTTTTACATTGGGCTCGATATTCTTTTTCAGAGACCACTGCATACGTTGTAGCATCTGCACTGTCGCTACATCGATGATTGCTGTGTTGCAACTTCAACGCAGTCCGAGATGGACGAGTGTTTCAAACTTCTTAACCAGCAATCACAGTACATCAAGCTCACACGTGAGATACCTCGCGATGGATGGCTGCCTTATCTCAACGCTCAAGTAAAGGTGACCGCTGGCATTGTAAGAGTCAAATGGTATCGCAAGGATAGCTCCAAAAATATCCTCATCAATGTAAAATCTGCACATCCTGCTTCCGTGAAGCGTGCTGTCATTGGTAACATGTTTAGAACTGCGATGCAGATGTGCAACGGAGAAGAGGAGCGAAGCGAATCACGCAGACTGGCTACCCAAATAGCTTGCAGCAACGGTTACCATTCTTCATCGCACGTTCACCATCGAAGAAATGGCAACAACATTCGAGCTGATGACAAACTTCCACTTTGCTTGCCATTCATTTCTGATAAGATCAGCGCGGCCATACAGAAATGCATTGTTCGTGCGCAGCTGCAAGATGATATTATGTTAGTGAACATTCCCAACGATAATACCAAAAAACAGCTCGTACGTAACAGGCTCTACGATCAATACTGCAATACGGAGCAATGCGTGATATGCCCGCACGGCAGAATGGGTGACTGCGCGAAGGTAGGAGTAGTGTATCAGCTTGAATGTCTGAAATGTAATGCACGCTATATTGGGGAAACAGGAAGAACACTCGGCATTCGCATCAAAGAGCATTTGTCAGACAAAAGGCGCAAGAACTTGGCCTCGCCGCTTGGCAGACACAGGCACGAATTGCATGGTGGAGACGACTTTGATATCAAAGTTACAATTCTAACACTTGAAAAAGAGGTCTCGGCTAGGAAAGCCTTGGAATCGTTCTGGATTTCTGCAAAGAGTCCAGAAATGAACAGCAAAAACGAGTGTTTATCCATAACCGCTGATTTTCTTCCGTTTTTATCATTATGTGAGCTATAACTGTTTGTGTGACAACCCTCAGTATAGCTCAGTCGTCCGTCGCGAACATCTCATCCGGTACGGACATCTAACGAAGCGGTGGTTCCCTGGTATGTCTTTTGCCATCACAATTCTTGTAGCACTAGATTGAGGGAAGAGCCGAGAACTGGCAAGGGCTGGTGGAGATGTTTGATGGGCTGGAGTTACGGATGAAGCTTTGAACCATTCCAGGCCTCTGATGAAGACGAAAGCGTCGAAAAGTAAGGCCGAAGAGTACTAATAATAAAAGGACCACATAACAACCTGTTCGGCACAACAATATTCGACACTTACGAACATGCCCAGGTTTAATGATTACGGAACATGGAAATTAAATCTGAAGTTGCCAAGCAAAAGGACAAAACACTAACACTGGAAACAGCATGATTGAAAACCCTTAAATGCCAATTTTCAATGCTCATGACCTCTACGAACACGCTGCGGCAAGTCTTTGGTAGATAAGTCCTTATCCAGTCTATCGCAAAAAACTTATTTATTAACCACTTCCGCTCATCAACACCTGTACCAGCACCTGTTTATCCAATGAAGAAATACCTTTACGGATTCTACCTGCTAAAATGCGCACTACGATCCAATCTTGAAGACATCCATTGCTCCAGATAAGGCCACCTCTCCATCGAACCCGTAAGGGTCAAAGGACAACGTTCAGAAGAGATTCTTGCTTACGATGTCTTACCTTCATAAAAAAGGATCCTAAACCAATGGGAAGCTCAGAAACCGTCATCCTCTGCAAAAAGGCAAACGGAAGGATTTTAAAAACTACCGCACCGGGCTTGCTGAGTATGCCGTACAAACTTTTCACCAAGATCATTCCGGCTCGCAAATCAAGGACACTGATGAAGCCTGACCCCAAGAACAAGCTGGATTTTGCGAGGGATTTAGCTGCATTGACCAGATCCAGACTGTTTCGAGGATCATAGAAGTCTGCCGGTAGCACGGCTGCGTCTCTTCCAAACTTTCAGCAGATACGAGGAAGTCTTTGGCAGCGTCGGTAATAACGCCGTCTTGTCCTCGAAGTCGATCAAGGAGTGAAGCAAGCTTGCGTGAGAACATCAGCCGGCTACAAGGATTGTACAACAGCAGCTATTTTATCTCCCCCTGAACAAGGGATTCCACAAGACAACAAAGTTTCGACAAATCTGTTCACCGCGGCTTTGCAGTGAGTGTATGACGAAGTCAGTGGAGAGACAGAGACGGAGTGGGAAGACAGAGAGTACGAGTTGATGGGAGATTCCTCTCAAACCCTTCTTTTGCGGACAATATCGCTTTCCCAGCTATCGTTAAAGCGAGACGACGCTGAAGGGACTCAGCGAAGTTGAGAAGAAGGTTGGACTGCGATTAGATCGGAAGAAGACTCAATTCATAGAACGCGAAAAGCGGGAACAGAATCAAAAGCTCCTATTAAGGAGACGTATTCTTAGGTGTATCTTAAACGCTCGATGAACATGGGGAACGAGTTGAGGGAAGAACTTAACAAGAAGAAGAGCAGCATGGGCAGCTTTCGGGCCATCTTTTCAATGGGAATCCAAGCCGACTCCGTGCTGGCTGTGAAGGTTTTAAGATGTTTGATTGGCTTATGTGTCTTCGACTTTTCAGATTCCGAAGAAGACTATTTTGCCGAAACATTAGTCTATACGAAGTCGCGTATGTACCAGTCTTGGTTCACTGCTGAAGGAAAAAGCTAGAATAAACCTTCCCAGTTTTGTGTGTGTTTCCATGAGCCATTCTACCATTAGGGACCCGTCATACTTCGCCGAAAAAAGTCCAAAAAAGCCCGGAAGAGCTGAAACGCCCCTTCCGTTTTGACGCTAAAGCATATGTGTTGATTTCGCAACCGAGTCTTTTTGCTTCATTTTCTGTCGTCTGCACATCAACATAATGTCAAAATTCTACCAGAAGTTCGTTTTCGCTCTTTCGGGCTTTTCGGCTTTTTCCGGCTTTTTTGGGCTTTTTCGGGATTTCTTGGGCTTTTTGACGCTTTTGGAGTTTTCTCGGCGAAGTATGACGGGTCCCTTAGACGGCCAATTGTAACAATTTATTTCAACGATGCCTGGTAGAAATAGCGCTCATTTTCGCACCATTATTATGCGAAGGCTAGGTTCATACTGGTCCGTAGGTTCGCGAACTGTTCCAGTACAGCGCACAATTCGAGTGCTGTGCTGGAACTGTTCCGGAACTTACGGATCAGTTTGAACAACCAAAGGAGCGACCTTTCTTTTCGCTGCTGATGGTAAATTAGAAAGAAGGCAAGCTAAGGCGGATAGAGTTTAAAAACACGGAGAGGCCACTAGAATAGATAAGAGCTTTCCAAGAACTTCGATGGATGTAGGGGGGGGGGGAATCAATTGCTAAACATCTGCGCCCAAAAAATCACTTAATGTTATCAGAGTATTTGATTTTAAGGTCAATCTAAAAACAACTCGCTCGTAAACTTTGTTGGACCTTACTGCACATGTGCACGATGACGTTAATTAATTGGACTCTGTGTAAAATCATGTCCATTAGAAAAAATCGCCTGCATTGTCACATTATTGGTCTGTCCGAGACTGAAAAAATATGTGAAATGATCGATGTGCATTTAACGGTCTCGCGAAACAAGAGATAAGGATAGGCAAAAAAGGGAATGGCACGGCTACGGTTTCATTTTCGCTTCCCGCAAGATGGGCTACCTACCCATTCTTCCACTAATCAAAATCTTTTTATTTCCTAAACGAGATCTTCATTGTGCCTCTACTGCTTAGGAGATTGGAAACAACAATAAATCAAATGTATTAGACATCATCATTTTATCAGTGAGCGTTATGGAAATAAGCAGTGATAACATAACATAGACGCATTGCTGTTTCATATGTTTCATGGGCAACTGCCCTTGTCGATATTGTCCGCTGTTTTCATATCAAAATAAAAATACTTCCGTCTACAAAATCCCCCACACTGTTTCGATTTCGGATACAAGCAGTCATACTAGCGGTAAGCGTTGTTTACGTGCTTTCAATGGAAAACTTCTCCTGTAGAAACTATCTGATTTGAGAGTAAACTTCTTGAGTTATAGAAACAACGTAGCGTAAAAGTATTAGTACTAATCCCCCCCCCCTTTCCAAAAGCCACCTACCCTCGCTCCTCGCGCTCTATTGTCACTTGGACGGATCCTTCAATAACATTCAGCGATGATTCATAGACGAATTTGCTCACTCGAGTTTTTCAGTGTTTCCGCCTACAAATCTGTCTTTGTGTCATTTGCCCAGATCATTTGCCCAAATAATATTCGAAAACGGGAAGTAATGCTTTTTTAGACATTTTTATTTCCACTCCCAATACGGTCAATTCTTACTGTAACTGTTATATTCCTGCTACTTTCCTTTTCTACTCTTTGTTAGTATATTCCGTCAAGTTTTGCATTGTGGTTTCAACTATTAGAACTTCATTGTTTTGAGCCACTTTATAGTTCAGTTGAATCGACCGACTGATCTTCGGTTTTTTCCAAGTGGAAATCGCTGATAATCAGCTGGATGCAAATAATCTGCTGAAGATAGGTCTCACTGTAGGCGAACATTTCGATTGTGCACTGTGTGAATTTCAATTTCGATGTTTTGAAAAACAGTTTGTTTACAACGCTCAGTATGATACAACGCCAAAATTGAATTACGTTAGCATCGTGATGCTCAAAACAGCATTGTTCAAAAGATCTCCGCACAGTTTCGATTTTATTTTGAACTCCAATTTATCTTGGTTTCACAAAGATGGCTATACTTGACAAATATCGCATTCTAGCAAGTAAAAGTTGCATGATGCCTTTTTTTTCGAGTTTCGCTTATGATTTTAAGAATATAAGCTAGCTTTTGATCAGATTAATGGATCCTATCTTATGGTTTTATTCTTTAAGCTAGCTTAAATTCAAGAGTTCTTTGAGCTGCTGTTCCATTTTGTCGCTGAGGCCTTCTGTCCTCACAAAAGTGGCTTGGAAGAGGACTTGAATAGGGTTGTCGTTTTTATTGGAGGGAACACAGTGCTTTGGTCACGATGTCTTGAGTCTATAGTTTCTCGCCTACCAAGCGTTGCTAATTATCGACGGTCTGTTCATTTTTGCAACTGATCAAATTCACTCACTAAAAATCGAATCGGAAGTTGCTTCTCACTGGTAATTTAGTTGGGTTGAAGCATTTCTAGTGTCTGCAAAAATTTTACAAGTTGATCACGTTTCAGAAATCAAACATTCATGTAGCGTGTGAAATTATAAATTTTAATTATTGCCGACAACTGCTTTTCGTTGTTATATTCTGGAAATATAATAATGATTTGTTTCTTCCAGGGATGTCGACGTGGAGAGCCACAATAGGTGCGAAGCCTCCAATAGCACCAAAACCGACGGAGGAAGATGAATGGGAGACCGATCCAGATTTTGTTGTGAGTTCAGATCTTTTTGGTAGATCATGCTATGGACCATTTGTGTTGAACATAATTTTACGATATTATATTGATTTATTGGTGTTATGTCTTGTTTTAGAATGACATGGATGAAAAAGCAAGCCGTTGGGGTGCTAAAACTGTGGAAGGATCCGGTCATCAAGGACATTTCAGCGTAGAGAAGATGAGGCAAGAGGCTCTTGAAGCGGACAAAATCCACCAGGTAAGAATATTAGCTAGCTATTGATCGAACTATCATGTCTCTTTTCTTTTTAGTCGAAAATGCTTGAGCAAATGCCAAAGGCTAGCGAGGGTTATGGAGGCAAATTTGGTGTAATGACCGATAGGATGGACAAGGTGCGTTTCTGCTTATGTACAGTTCATGCTTCTTCTCATTTTCTCGTCGTCTCGTACTTGTTTCATTTTCTAGGCAGCAGTGTCATTCGACTACAAAGGCAAAGTAGACCCACATGCCTCTCAAAAAGATTATGCTGTTGGATTTGGTGGTAAATACGGGGTTCAAACAGACAGGAAAGATAAATCTGCTGCCGGATGGGACGAAAAAGTTGAACTGTCGAAACATGAAAGTCAGAAAGGTAGGTGTGTACTCATTTTTGTGCATAATGGTTATCATTTAATCTGTGTTTCAACGCTATGACTAGTCTTTTATTTCAAAAGTATCGTCCCCTCCACAGATCGTGCTACCCTTGTGGCGTCGCGGACGTGCCACGTGTGACTAACACTTTGGCAACGTTGGCAGGGGTGTAGGGCGTTAGGCGACAAACCCAGTTTTTTGGACCCCAAAGAACTCCCCGTGCAAAACGTCTCCTCCGCCAAAAACAGGGGGGTGGGGGTCGGGGCCGATACATTACCCGACGCCAATGAAAAAATGGTGCACAGTTTTGAGTTACGGGATTTACGTTGCTTGCGTTTTGCACGTTTTATCGTCTAACGCTTGCCCTCCCGTTGGCAGCAACACGTTGACAACATGCGGCAACATGTTGGCGTGGCCAAAATGTTCTGCCAACATGTTGGGGCATGTTGCAAACATTTCGTTGCCACGTTGCCAACAAGTTATCACACGTGGCAGGTCTGAGAGCAGACCAAGGGTAGCACGATCTGTGGAGGGGACTATATCTTTTCTGCATGCATCCAGTTTTGTCCATCGTGTTAGTTTTTGTCTCTCATTGATTATGTATGCACAGATGCATCATCCGGCTACGGCGGTCGTTTTGGCGTTCAAAAGGACAGAAAAGACAAGTCAGCTGTAGGATGGGACGAAAAAGTGGAGCTTTCGAAGCATGAAAGTCAAAAAGGTGAGAAAGGAATTTGTTAGATTGATTCTTCACTGTTTATCTTCATAATCAATCATCTGATTATTCATCGCCATTCTTTATGGACTGAACGATGTCAATTTCAATTCCATGTCAAATGTTCGACTTGCGAGCCTTTTCAGTGACTCAGCGCCGTTTAGCGTTTGTTGACGAGAACTATTATCGCACGATCCTGTCCAATTTTCGGATTACAACGCGCGTCTTCGCGCTCGATCATTTCGCCTGACTCATAAGCGCCTGTTTTGCAATTATAATGAACGAGGGCTATGAAAACAGCAAAAAGAGAGTTGGTTTTGTAGAGGGAGAATTTCAAAAATTTGGGAACTGGCGATTTTGCATGTACAATACGCCCGCCTGTTCTCGTGCCGGCAATGGGGGATACATCAATAAACTCTTCTGACTTGACTTATGACTTTTTCATATTTTCTTAGTTGCTTTATCTCGTTACGTCTATTTTTTGGATTTTCCAAATACGTATGCTTTTGTAAGCATTTTTTATTGGCTTTTCTAGACGTTGCTACCGGTTACGGAGGCCGTTTTGGAGTACAGAAAGATCGCGTGGATAAGTCTGCAGTGGGCTGGGATGAACATACAGATCTTACAAAGCATGAGAGTCAAATGGGTGCGTTACTCCATCATTTGTTGTATCTTTCTTCATCTTCTACTATGTCTTACTCATGTAACTGGACGTTTTTCAGACTATAAAAAAGGGTTCGGTGGAAAGTTTGGAGTCCAGACTGATAGGCAGGACAAATCGGCAGCCGGATGGGATACACTTGAGCAAGTCCCAAAACACCCCAGTCAGCAAGGTGAGTACTGCCACAATAATTTCTGTGACTCCTCTTGTAGTATTTTATCGTTACTTTTTCATCTATAAGCGATTGCGTTTTCTTACGGTATATACTCTTCGTTTAGATTACAAACAAGGTTTCGGTGGCAAATTCGGTGTGCAATCAGATAGACAAGATAAGTCTGCCGTTGGATACGATACTCATGACGATTTGAAAAAGCATGAAAGTCAAATGGGTGAGTGATTATCTTCCCTATTGTTCAATTTGTGGTACGTTTGAGTTCGTTATAGTAAATTTCTAGACTATAAAAAAGGATTTGGAGGCCAGTTTGGTGTGCAGAGTGACAGGCAGGATCGAAGCGCTGTAGGTTTTGAGTACCATCAGCAGCTTTCCAAGCATGAGAGCCAGCTTATCAACAAAGGTGAGTTGTAACAGCGTGATTCTGTGTTGTCTCTTTCATCTTATTGCTTTAAAATATAATATCTATTTTCAGATGCAATGTCTAGCAAGTCTAACATTGTAGGTATTGACAAAAGTAATGACCAAACACGCGGTGATGCGGAGCCCGCCAAGAAGGTGGTTACTCAGCGCGATGACGTCCCCAGCGGTAAAGGACTTGCTTCAAATCTTCGCGCACGTTTTGAGAAGTTGGCTGCCGGAGATGTAAGTGCTTGCCTTTAGATTTTGCAAAATGCGTATAGTACATAGTTATCTTACAACACGATCACTTTTTATATTCATGTCTATTTTCTCGTCTTGCTGTTGTTCACATTCGCTATAAGAAGTTTTTCAGTCTGATGCTGATCGCGTTGCTGCTGAACGTGAGAAGCGAAAACGAGAAGATGAGGCCCTCAAAGAACAGCAGAGGCGCGAGGAGGTTGCGATTTTTTTATTAGCCAAAGTTTGTATGTCTACCCCACTTAGGAGGAGAGACAGCGTCGTATTGAAGAAGAATGGCAGAGGCATCAAGCCGAACATCCCGTTGATGAGGAACAACAACGTGAAGCAGAAACAGCCAATGAGCTAAGCTATCAGGTAAATTAATTATTTGCTGCTGTGATGTATGACTCGCCCAGGGCTATTAAATAGCCATTTTCGTTGTTTTTGCGTAATTGCTGACTTGGTTTGCAATCCAGTCCTATTGCCATTCCATTATTGGTGCCAGTCGAGACTGACTATCCATTTTCGCGATCATTTCACTTTGCCTCCTTTCAAGCACGAATACCTCAAACGTTCCGTAATGACCCTCAATATCGAAACCCGTGGAAGCTCTGCTAACTAACATATATATTCACATTTTTTACTCTTCGCTTTTCCAGCAAATGACTAAGCGGAAGAGCGCAGGTCCTGCTCCCGGAGCAGTTCCTATCCTGCCTGGTGTTTCCTTACCGCATGCGGCTCCGCCTGCTCAACATACGTATGATGTACTTCCGGAAGAGGTAAGCTCAAAAAGTCTGTTATAACTGTAGCCTTCTTACCGTTGATCTTCAGGAAGCCCCTGCACCAGCGCCTCCGGTACAAGTGCTGCCCATGGGAGGAAGAGGTGCAACAGACTTAGGACCTCGTGCTGCACCTGTTTCCACAGTAGGCAATCATGTACCTGCCGCCGCAGTTGTCCATCCTCCATCTGCTCCTGCTGGATCGACGCCCGCAGGTTAGTTCACTATTGACAGCGATGGTTGCACTTGAACTGTTCTTGTAATCAGCGCCTGTCCTTGCTTGTGAACTGCGTCGCCAGCCATCCAGTGACGAAGAAGTCGACAATGAAGCTGAGTGGGAGGAAGAAGAAAAAACTTACAAGGTTGGGGGATTGCTCTGTTGATTGTCTTGTCGAACCTATTCTTCGTTTATCTCAGAGGAATCCTCACACTACGCCTCCTCCTGCCATTAGCCCTGTCAATAATCCAGTTCCAAAGGAAGAAGTGAGCTTTTAATAGCATTATCATTTTTCAGTACCTTTTTTGCCATCAAAGTTGTAGCCCTTCTATCTTACTCTTGTAGTTATATCAGATCGAGTCCTCCTAAATTTTGCACTTACTTTTCTAACCAGAAAATTACTCGCAATTGCATTGCATTATCCTCTACGTAAGCATTGAGATTAATCTCATGAAATGGTTCCCTGCATGGGAGTAGTATCTGTTGTCTTAATTCTTTTTAATGCTTAAATTTTATTTCATCCACGCTCTCTTAGCCGAAATCGTACACTTTACCACAAGCTGCTATGTCGTCACGATACGATGTAGTTCCTGGAGATATTGACGAAGCTCCCCCGCTTCCTACTGGTGCTCCTCCTGCTGCTCCACCTGCTGATCTTGCGGCTCGATACGAGTTACCTCCTGAGGTGTGTTTCTCTTTCTCTTTTTCTGAATGAATAGAGATGACTTGAAACCCTCATCAGGAACCAGCCATTTCTGCACCCATACAAAAACCACCTTCCAAGGCTCCAGCAAATCAAGGCTTAACAGCGATTGCTATATATGATTATCAAAAGAATGATGATGATGAGATTAGTTTTGAACCAGATGATATCATCACAAACATTGAACAGGTGATTTTTTTACAACTCACTATTTCCTTATGATTTGTATGTTCCAGATCGATGCTGGCTGGTGGAGAGGAATGTGTAACGGTCAATACGGCTTGTTCCCCGCGAACTATGTTGAGTTGAGGTGAATCGGATAGAATGGTTAAATATCTTCACTTTGAAGAGTGACTTACATTAACATCTGCCGTTAATATTTTCCCGACTTTCAGTTATTTTTTTCGTTACTAATAATGTTGTTAATAAGTCTTGATGTGCAGCCGGTGTGCTACTTCAACATGTCACATATTCTCATATCTTTGCAGTCGGTCACAATGTGCTCTGAGTTATTCGTTTTTTTTTGCATGTTTGTAGGTCATGTTTTATATAATTTTGCAAAGTCTTCCGAACTAGTTTTCCTTAAATATGCTTGCAGCTTTGTATTTAAGATAAACTTGGATCTTGTTTATTAACCTTATAGCTATAGCAAACATTGCCATTAGTCAACCCTGCACATCCCTGTTGACCTTTGATACGTATTTGCACTCCTAATTTAAGGGCTGTATTTTTGAAGCAAGCTCAAATCGCCAACGTTTTATGTTTGTGTGAATAAATCATCTGCTATCTAATCTTTTACGAGCAACACCAAAAAAGCAAAAACAGTTCATAAACATTTACTTTTTTTACGAGACGATCGATAAAATGGGCTTTCTCGAATGCAGACCAGTGGCCGTGGTCATCCACGAGCCCTGGGTAAACCCTTGCCCTCAAGGGTAAGTTTCACCCTCAGGGTTCATTGGCCTCATATATCAACGAACCCTTGAGGGTTTACCCGGAAAGCGATTAAACCGTATCCATAAACCTTTTGTTATAAATCCTTCCCTTGAGAGTAAACCGTACCTCGTAAAGCGATGAATCCGTATTCATCAAAAACTCTGAGGTAAATCCTACCCTTAAGGACGTGACTCATATGAGTTAATTTGACCCTAGCATGGAGCGCAAGGTTAAATTTACCTTGATTTTGTACATACTAAAATGATCTCTCAATCACATCACCACTCAGTCTTAACGATACTGTTTTGACAACAAACGCATAATTTTAACTACTATTATCTCAGATTTCCTAAGTCCTTTTTCGTCTCGTTCAATCATATTACAAAACCTAAGAAATCCAAGTGTATACAATTGAGTACGATAGTACGATCAGCGCAAATCAACCGAAGGAGTAAATTGGTGGACCAAGATTTGTATGAGGAGTTCCATATTACGAAAATTTTTCGAGTTGTTGAGCTTGATGTTCATTATATCAGAGTCCTTAGTTGGACATGTGTTTTGTATAAAACTAGCCGAATATAATAGCGGATGATAACATCAAACGAAAACAAGAAAAGAAGCCATAGGAAGTCAGAGATAGTAGTAACCATAAGTATGTGTTTATTGTCAAAACAGTATCGCTAGGACTCAGTGATGCATCGAGAGACCACTTGATGTTTGTAGCGGAGTAGATTTTCTGCTCAATATAGTGTGCTTGCACTGAAGATGAAATGCGGTAAAATTTCGAGTAAAGTAAGAGTTACGCCATAATGCCAACATTTTGCGCGCGCAAATGGCCGGCTCACAGGCGTAACTCTTTCTTTACGCGTAAATTTTACAGCATTTCACCTTCAGTGCAAGCACACTATATTAAGCGGGAAACCTACTCAACTTTACGGGGTAGGGGAACGAAAGCCGCCAGATTCGGTCGCCTGAGCGGACTGCGGGTCCTGGAACGACATGGCACAACGTTGCGAAAGGAACAGTTAGCCCGCGAAAGGCGGGTCAAACTGGCGGCTTTCGTTCCCCAAGCCGACTTTATGTTGTCAGACTGATCACCTTGTTCTAAGCCAGGGTTAAATCTGCCCTAATGAACCCGTTCGTGAATACGCGTTAATCGCTCTCCAGGGTAATTTAAAGGGCTTTTCAACATAAGAGTCACAGCCTCCGCTTGCGCGGCTCCTCCTCAGACATTCGCCGTTGTCACCCGCAGGTGGACCGCCCACAAAATGGCTGATCGCACCAAAACCCGGTGCACCGTCGGGAGACATGAATTTAGTTTTGACCGGATTTTAATGCGATTTTGCACGCCGCATGCGTGTATGATAGTGATGTTGCGAAATAGTCGTCTTCTCTTGGTGATTGCTTTTTGTTGATTGGTGCCTTTTTCTTCAATGTTTTTGCTTTCATTCTTTCTTATACATCGCTTATAATCGCTCCTTGGGATCATTTGTGTTCTTTCATAACATAAACTTGTCATTATACCAGACCTACTCTATCTTAATCATACTTAATGGTGCCTTTTGATTCAACTTAGCTTATTATTTTTCCTTAATTTTACCAGCACATCAATAAAAGTGAGGTCACCGTTTCCGTAGGACATCGATTTGACGGTTTGTCAGTTCAGATGAGATCGCGCGTCCAAAATGGCAACTTCACTTGCAATCTCTGCGCTGGCGTTGTAGATCGAAGGTAAGCATTTTCTTCTCAATTCAGTAGGTTACTTCAGGACTCCTTCCAACTCAGCAAATTTGCGGAGTGCAATTTTGTGAGCTTAGACTCAAATTGTTAACCACAAGCCTGATTTGACTAAGTTTCAAGCCAACTACAAGCTCAAACAAACTTGAAATATCGTAATCTTGTGTCGGGTTCAACAAACCGTTGAGGCGTCGCTAGCTATCTAAAATCTGTCAAAACATGTAACTTATACTATCCATTACTTATTGTGGGTAGCTTCAAGCTGACACGTGCAGAACAAAAATTTGCGAAAACGTCATTTTACGAGAAAATCCTTATGACACAATACTTTTCCAGCAAAAAAAAAAACAGTTTAGCGCCCGAAGTATTGTCATAGTTCGAAAAATGTGTTTTTATAAGAAAATTTCTCCTGCAGAATGGGCTTTTCCATAGCTTGTTTTCGCAGTTTCACAGAAGTAAGACCGGCTGCAGCCGTTTATGGATTGCTGCTGTGTAAAAAAATTTGCTCACATTTATTTTCATGCAGGAAACAAAGAGCTAAATCTGGGTGTAAAGTGCACGTTTGGTACCCGTATTCCATCAGATCTTTGAATTCCCGTCTGCAAAGCCATAGCTAGTCAAATGACCAGCTATGGCTCTGGCTTCCGGCCTTGATAAGAGAATTTATTCTCTTCAGAGAAATTTCCACAATGCATGCAATGGTTTTTTGCGGACTTTCGTCCACGACTCTCGTTGGGTCACTTTTTGGCAGGTCTGTGGTCCGTATTTGAAAGAGGGGTCTTTTTTCTCGCAGAGAGACCAGAAAGAGAATTCGTGGGATCAAGAATGGGCGAGTTAGAAGGCGAAATCCTGCTTGTTCAAATATGGCTCACATGAAGTTTGATGGGCTGTCAAAAAAATCCATTCTTTGCTCTGTTTTATACATGTTCCGATGGCAGTCGTCTTCTCCACATTCTTTTGTTCCATTGTGGTCCTGACTTCGTTCCTTACTTAAAAGTGATCTAGCTCAAATTTTAATTAACCAGCCGCTGTAACCCGAAAATCGCAATTTTTCGAAATTAACGAGTATCAGAAGCTGTTTGAATTTTGGCATGATGAGGCAACAATCCACACCGAAAAGAAGAAATCGCAGTTGTCAAAACCCATCTTTCAAACACGGAAAAAATGATATTCAGCTTTCTAACTCGCTCAATCATAGTACCACAATTGCTCTTGTCTGTATAACCGAAAAAAGAAAGTCTGCTTTTTAAAACCCAGCCCGATTGAGGTTTTTGTATTAACGAAAGGCATCGTATTTTTAGGGGCTGAATTTGACTGAAATCTTAAAATGGAAGAGATCGGCTTGCGCACATAAACATGATCATTTTCTGCATTTTCATCATGTTTTTGATCTTAGGCACTATTTCGTCAATGCAAGGGATCACTGCTAAACGAATTCTTGCCTTACACACAATTTTTTTGGACTTGTGAACCGGCAGAGGAACTCAAAAGTATGCATGTAGGCAAACTGGCAAAAAAGGAAAAAATGACCATTCAAGGATCTCCCGGAAAGCACTGTGGATTTCCTAATAAGTAGGTTGTTCCATCATTTTGTACATCAATTCGAATAATTTATTCAGGGTTTGTATTGGACGCTTTTGGCCTACCGGACAAAGAACTTCTACAATTTGCACAAGAATGCGACAAAGGCGTCAAAGGTAAAACTTTCGTCTCAAAAAGTTTACGCATCTGATACTGATGTTTTTCAGAAGAACCGGCCCAGGGCATCTAACGTGAACACTGACTTGAACATCATCGAAAAAACGGATGCCGACATTGCAGTAACCGATGCGAACGACACATTAGTCCAATTCCAGTTGTTTTTTGTCAAGTGTTCTCTCGATGTAGTTTATTTGATTTTGCGCTGATGTAGATTTTTCTGTACCATGAAGTTTTTAATAAATACTATGGCTTGATTTGTTAGGGACGGTGAAAGATGACAGCGCGGTAGACGTGAAACACACCAGTATAGAGTATGTACTCTATACTTGTGTGTTCCACTATATACTTAATATTAATATTTATATACCACTATATATGTACCCATCAGGGTGAACCGCTGCTTTAAGGGTCGGGGCATTATGGTGTCTCCCGCAGGTCACCCCGCTGCAAACACAGGCGACCTGATTTTGCCCCGACACCGATTTCGTGTGACGCGCCGTTGGTCAATGAGATCACACCATTTTAACCTGCGGGTGACAACCGCGAATGTCTGAGTCCAACGCGGCCGCCTCGCTCAGGCCGCGCGCGGCGTTTGCTGCGCATCGCCCGGGATTTTGCCAAGCTTCAGTCGACGCGCAGCCAGCGCCATGTACGCTGCGCGGACCTAAGCGTGGCGGCCGAGCGGGGCGGCTGTGACACTCAGCTTGTGAAGCCCTATACCTCTAAGGGTAGGGCTTGCCCTCGAGGTTAGTTGATCGATCCGGGTTAATCGCTTTCTGGGGTAAACAGCACCCTATCCCCAAGGGTTCGTTGATGAATACGGTCAATGAAACCTGATTGAAAGATCCACCGTTGTAAGGTTTACTTCTTAGTGGTACTGTAACAATCACATATTTACAGTTACTCGTTTTACGTTATCACTAGCTGGCTTACTCGGCTCCCCTCGGCCCTGTCAAAACACTGTGATAAAGCTCTCATTCGTATCCCTCCCTCGTGCAACCATTCTCTGTGCACACGTCTGCATGCCAATTCCCTATTGCCGCTGTTTCAGAGATCGGCATGTTCGAGATTACTTCCTTGTGCCAACTCTCAGCCCGTCGCTCAAACTTTGCAAAAAACTTGACAAATTCGATAAAAGAAGCGGATAATTCTAAAAAGTAAATTTGTGTTGAAATCAGCATGCTCACTACCCTCTGTACCAACTCTCAACCCCGCAGCTCAAACTTTGCAAAAAATCGATAATTCGATAAAATCGGTATCGACCGAAATTGGTATTGATCGATGACGAAAAGTAGTCTATGACACCGGTCCCACCCCGAAGTGTATGTATGTGTGCCAAGTTTGGTTCGGATAGGTTGGGAAATGGAATTTTCTATTCGG